ACTGTGGAGACCTGTATGTTGCAGAAACCGGATGCATGTCCCATTTGAATGGAAAACATTCTTGAGTCCATCCCTCCACTGTCAATTCAAGACCAAGATGCTGGGAGTGACTACTTTCAGTTCTCTCCACTGCACAGCTGCTACTATAAGTTGTCAAAGCCTCCTGCTCACAGGGCTTCCATCCAAGCCCTGGACTTTTCTGATATCAAAGGACTGGGGCTCATCACTGTGGGGGACCCTGGTGGCTTCAGAATTTAAAATGACTGAATGAATAAGCCCTGAACGTCCTGATGGCAAGAACTCCTATTTCTTTCCATCCCCACAGCCTGGCAGAGATCACCTGTCCAATACTTTCATTGGATGGATTGACTGAAAACTAAAAGTCACTAAATAAGGAGAAGAAAATCCCTTTTGTGGGGAAAGAACACTATGCACTGAATCCTAGACGTCAGCGGATTGTGGGTTTTGAGTAAACAGGGACAGGCCGCAGGGTGAGTGGAGAATGGAGCTGGAGAATTCAAGGAAGGTTAGTTCAGGCCTCGTTCTCGGCTTTGTTGGCAACTATTAATACAAAGGCAGCTAAAGGAAAACCTAAGGCAGCGGAGGTAATCAGGGTGGCCACCCAACAGAGTGGTTCCTTTTAGGTTTCTGGCTTGAGGTAATCTGCTACCTGCACTCCGGGGTTTCTCACTAGGCCCAGCTGAACAGCTGAAGCAGGGAGAAAAGTGTGTCCCAGGAGCCAGCAGACAGTGTTCAACAACCCACTAAAGCAGCAGTCGCTTTTCCTGTGATCATTTGTGTAATTGGGTCTGAAAGGGCTCTGTTTCTCAGTTCTGAAAAAGGTAGAAAATCCTGCCACATTACAGTTCCTCGGAGCAATGGTATTGCCCGAGAAATCCCCGCTTCCTGATTTCAAATATTTTTATGGTTCCTGAACCTTCTGCAGCATCTCTCTCCTGGGAAGCCTCCCTGGCATGGTTGTGACCTCGCCTGGGGAAGGACATGAATTTCAGAGGTGCTGAGAAGGCAGGGGAAGACAAAGATTTGGGAGTTGGATTCTGGGTCAAAGTTTGGGCTCTGTGTTTTTTACGTTACATGACTGAGGTTGAGTTACTTACCTTCTCAGAGCCTTTCTAATTCCAGATCTGTAAAATGAGTCTAATGAAACCGCCCCACACGGCTGTGCTAGGAACTGTCAAGCCTAGCACATCACCCGGCCTGTGGTGGACACTCAGCAATGTTAAGCCCCTTCCTTTACACCAATGCAATGTTCCGCTAGTAAGACTGCCAAGTCTCACCGAATGATTCCAAAGATCAGCAACCTAAGACATGTGGGAGGAAAACACTAGAGAAGAACATACTGCTCACACTGAGTCGGGCTCTTGCCTTCCCCTCCTGTTCCAACAGTCCCCACTGTTGGGCTGAATAGCCTAGTGGTTAGAGCAGGCAGTCAGGAGTCAGTCTTGGGTCCAAATCCTGGCACTGCCACTTATCAACAGCAGGATTGCAGAGACCAAAGGTAACTTCAGTTCCATCATTTTAAAATGAGAAAAACAACAGCATGCGTGATGAATTAATCTACGTAAAGCACTGAGTGCTGGCACTAGCACAGCCAACAGCCAATAAATGTTATCTACCTCATCACCATTTATCATCCATCCAGCAGAACTCTAGTGGGTGACGGGCTGAGAAAAAAATAAGATAACACAACTTTAAGGGTAAAAGAGGTCAAAAAGAACCTTGGTGGTATGAAATGCACAGCTTAGAGAATAAAAATCAGCCTTTCTGAAATCCACTGCCTGTGAGGGTCGCCTAGCTAGAGAAGTAGTAGACCGGCATCTTGATAAATGGCCCGGGGCTTAGCCATTCTAAAATCAGCCGGTGCCGGCTGGGAAGAAACTTGTGAAGGAGCTAAGGCTGCTTTGTGCACTAGACACTAACCTCGCCTTCAACTTTTCCTCCTCCTCACTGGGGCTCTACTTCAGGTACTTGGTTTCCCAGGGTCCCTCATTTATTCACTGTAGCCCAGCTGGTCCTCCAGCCTCCCCACCACCACCACTATCTAAATCAGTGATTTTGAAACACCAGTCCATGCACCAAAGCTGGACTGCCTATGTAAGAACTACACCAAATATTTACACAATCGAATACTACTCAGCCATAAAAAATAGTAAAATAATGTCATTTGTTGCAACATGGATGGACATGGAGATGGTCATTCTAAGTGAAGTAAGCCAGAAAGAGAATGAAAAATACCGTATGATATCACCTTTATGTGGAATCTAAAAACAAAACATGAACTTACTTACAAAACAGAAACAGACTCCCAGACAAACTTATGGTTACTGGAGGGGAAAGGAGATGGGAAGGGATAAATTGAGAATTCGAGATTTGCAAATACTAACTACTATATATAAAACGGATAAATAAGTTTCTACTGTACAGCACAGGGAACTATATTCAGTATCTTGTAGTAACCTATAATGAAAAAGAATATGAAAACAAATATGTATGTATAGGTATGACTGAACTATTGTGCTGTACACCAGAAACTGACACAACATTGTAAAATGACTGTATTTCAATAAAAAAGAAAGAACAACAACAAAAGAACTACACTGAGAGCTTATGAAGAATACAGCTGCTCGGGTTCACCCACCAGGTCAGAGACGGCCTTTGGTTACCATTCTGTTTTGTTTTTTAAATAGATTCCTCAATAATTCTTCAGTGTAGTCAGGTTTGGGAGCTCTGTTTCTAGACTTTCCCTACATCAAAATCCAAATTTACCTCTCGTATGGCCCAGTGGTTGCGGACCTCTCTTTCCCTGATCTATCTAAAAAACTCCCTTGCGTTGGGTCCATGAATCATTAACTGGTGACAACTTTGTTTTCCCCTCAAGAGCTTACATAAAGGATAACATTATGCCATGAACTAAAGTATGAAAAATGCCAAGAGAAAGGAAGGAAACCTTAGAATCCCTCCACTCCATTCTTTATAAATGAGGCTGACCCTGAAGCATACATACTTTGGGTTCCAGCTCTCCCATTCTCTCCCTACTTGGTAAAGAAGCCGGAAGTACATACTAGATAATCAAAGTTTGGAGACAAAGAAGCACCACAGATGTGCAGAATCAACAGTAATAACAGTAACCACCACCACCCACCCTGCACTGAGTCCCCACGGCCAAGCACCACCCAAAGCACTTTATGTAAATGATCTTATGTAACATTCTCATCTATGGGTATGTATTAATATTACTATGCCCAGTCCACAAATTTAAAAACTGAGGTGCAAAGAAATTAACTTGCCCAAATTTACACAGCTAACAACTATTTCATGGGGACCAGAGAATTTGTGATGGCAGGGGATGTTCAGTTAGCAGAGACACACCCTCTTCTCTTTTCCCTTGTCTCTAGAGAGAAGAATATTGGAAAAGAGGCTTTTGAAAAGAGGAAGCAAAAAAAACATACAGCAATAAACAGCAGTGTCTCCAAGACTTTTCAGTTGGGAATTACTAAACTAAGGCTTTGAGGCTTCTTTCTGACCTGTGCGTAGGACATGCAGGACCATTCTGCTCTCCCATTTGGGCAGCATATGGGTAGTGAGCGGTGGGGAACAAAAGTGCTACCTGACAGGCCACTTTAGTTGCAGACAATTGAGAGCGCCTATGAACTCTTGAAGGCAGAAGCGGAGATGGTGGCTGAGGGCTGGCTTTGTCCCGGATGCCCAGCCCAGGACTGCAAGGTAAAAAGGAGCCTGTAGTTCCTATGGAAACTTTGCCCAGGCACACACATTAAACCTGGTTGAAGCCACAACTTTTCAGAAAATCCCGAAAGCATCTTAAATAGATGACATCAAAGTAGACCAAGACTCACTTCAAGATGGCAGAATTTTCCTTAAGCCTGACACCAATTTCTTTTCTTTGCCCTTCCAGGTCCTCTTCTCAAAGAGACTGCAGAGCTGGAGTGGCCAGCACATTTAAGTATCTCTTCATCAGAAATGTAGCCTGGAGCTGATTGACCTTAGATTATGCTTTGCCCTACTGGGTGTTGGAAGGGAGGCTGTCCCCAACATGCCTGTTCTTTACCCTGGGTCCCAGAGAACAAGTCCTGTGGCTGAACAATCATTTCAATTTTGACAGTATCATTAATGAGAACCAACAATTCATGGGTATCTTTCTATGCAAAAAATTCTCTATAATAGGTCTCAGATCGTTAACCATAAGGACTTTCAGTGGGTTCTGGAGAAAACAAAACATTCCCCTTGACCACCATTATCAAGCTGTCCAACCACAAGTAACCCAGTAGAGACCAACAGTGCCTTTTCTTCAGGCTGGCAGTAAACCTCCCCCCAGTGACAGACATGAGAGACAGTATCTCCTTCCTACCCCAACCCACAAACTCCGTGAAACCCCCCCGACTTCACAAGTAGTCCTGCCATCTTCTGACAGGCAGGAAGGCTCATTCCTCTGCAGAGAATAAATGGCATCAATTCCAAAAGATCCAAAGAACAGCCTCTTTAAGAGGTTTCCCTTTGGAAAAAATATTTAAGCAAAGCTGTGCTTGATGAAGTGAAATAGAATTAGCCGCTCTGGTAGCACAGGCTTCTCAGATTCATTCTAAGGTAGACTGGCTCATTCGCTTCCAAGTGGAACGAACCCAACAACAATATATCACAATTAACTGTGATCACAGCTCCATGGAATTCCAGCCGGTGCCTGGAGTACACTGAGGTGCACTTAATATTCCCCAATCTGTAATCAACCTTTCGCAAATTTTTTCCTAATCACTGGATATGGTTTCATTTTAATGAACTGTTTTCTTAGCATATCACAGCTGGTCATTTCAGCACGCCTAATGGCCCTTTCGGTAGGGTAAATTACGATTCGGGTCCCTTGGTTTTTTGTTTCCCAGCAAGGCTCGAAGGGGGTTGGTTTTTTTCTCTTCCCCACGGCTCGATTTCAAGGACAGAATCACAAAAGATCAAAGGCAAACACATACCTGTTGCAGTCGACATGGAGCAGGAGGTGAGAAGCACTGACCGACAGTGCAACCTTGTGCCACTGCCCGTCGGCCATCCGGTAGGGAAGTGCCTCGGTCCTGGGCTTCCCGCTGTGCATGTAGTGATAGCGAATCTCATCCCTCAGACCACTGCTCTCCAGTTCGAAATAGCTGTACGTGAAGTAACAGAAGTTTGTTTTGTTTCACTCTTGGATTTCACGTTCATCATCAATCCTCATTACTTACTACCAGGTCTCTCAGAATCTAAACTTAGCTAAACATGACACAAAGAACCACAACCCCAAATCAATCGTACGCTATGGAACCCAATTCCCCTATTGTCAGAGCCTTCATGGTAGAGCCTGAGCCCCCGAAATGGCAATGGATTCACTGCTGTGAGGTGACAGGCCAATTAGCAAAGCTTGGTGCTGGGTCCCATAAGTACTTAAAAGTATAGCTCAGAGCCTTCTTTTCTATTGTCTAAAAAAAGGCCATTCATGTGGAATGGATTTATTGATGCTTCTTTTTATTATTGCCATTTTTACCTTTTCAAAAATTAAAGGGTGGAGGATATAGAGCTCAGTGGTAGAACACGTGCTTGGAATGCACGAAGTCCTGGGTTTAATCCTCAGTGCCTCCATAAAGGGGAAAAAGAAATGAAAGGAAAATGGAAGTCATGGTAAACGCTGGGGATTGAAATAAACTGTCAGGGAAGAGATTAGTAAGATTTTTGGGTTTTTTTTCCTTTGATTTTTTACTTCCTCCTGGACAAAAAGGTGTAAGTGGACAAGTCCTAGGTAATGAGGAGGGGAGGAAAGTTTGAAGCTACTCACATATGTAGCCATATTTCAAATTTTCATGGAATGAAACATGCAACTGGGTTTTTCTTTCTCCAGATGGTTATCGTTATCTTCCAGATCAATGAGGAACTCTCAGCACAACCACTGCAGTCTACACTTCAGTCATAAAAGGCAGCAGGCAGCTTTGGGGCTCCCCTCAGTCACACCAGGGCTGACACTCTCACAGGTGGGCAGACCTACGTAGACGCCTATGCTTCCCTTCTGAAATGTGTCAACATGGTCACCATCAGCACGGCCCAATCTCACTGCCAGGCATTTGACATATGCTATCTAATTTATCCCCCACAAAAACCTCTAAGACTGATATTATCCCTTTTTAAACATGAAGAAAACCTCAGTCTGGAATTAAATAACACACCCAAGACAGGATTTAAACTCGGGTCTAGACTTAACAGCCTATGTGGCCTTTCTACCAGTTTGGTGCCTCAACTAGCACCATCTCCCAGCAAGTCATTCACACAGTCTGCTCAAGAACTACCCGCCCATACAGGTAACCAAGTTCCATCCCAAGATTTGTATGAATCTACTCCTCCTCTTTTTATCCATTGAGTTGGCCTAACCCCACCAGCCCAAGCGTCCTTAATCTAGGACATATAATGCCTCTTTCATGAGGACTGAGATAAATATATCAGACTCAGCCTCTGCTATGCATGACTTCCAAATCTCCCACCACACGTGAGAACAAATGCATGTTTCTTGCTCATCTTTCACAGGGATCTTCCCAAGAGAGCACTGCAGGGGAAGCAAAGTCAAGACCAGCCTCTGACCCATCTTATTTGCGCTAGACAAAGAATCACGCCCAAAATTATAAATTCAAAAAGTTACTTACACTGATGTATCTGGCTCCTGGACCCAGCTACCCACTTATTAGTAATAGTAAATGTAACACATATTTTGTAAGACTGCAAAGGAGAAAAATCCCTTAAATAAGAAGGCATTCATTTTAAGAGAATTCTCCCATTTTTTCCTAACAGCTAGAACACTGGAAGAATCAAACAATCAGAACTTAAAAGCTCAGAAAGACCTTAGAGATTATCTAATCATTCATTAATTTATTCAATGTGTCATTACTGAACACACAGTAAAAGACTAAAATGGGATTTCAAATACAGACCCTGTTCTCAAGATGCTTTCAGAGTAGCAGAAAAGGAAAATATCTGCCCCTCCCCTACAAAAAGCTTGAAACTGGTCTAAGAGAAACAACTGGGAGGCAAGGGGATCTCTCATGAGTGACTGCCATGTGCTAGAAATGGTCCAAGTGCTTTCATAAACATCTCATTTCATTTCTTCAAGGTAAATACTACCACTGTTTTACAGTTGCGTTCACATGTGATCAGACATAGAAAGCACCTTGCCTAAGACCACACAGCTCCTGTATGGAAAAGCATGATTTGATATTTGAGAATTTACCAAGATTAACACATCTGAGAACCCTCTCAATCACTATACTTTGACTAATACAGGCTACTGCTGGAGAAGGGACATGAACTTGAAAGGACCTCAATCAATGACAATCAAAAATATTCAGAGATAACTTGAATCATAAGAAGAGGGGGGAGGCATATACATTTAACCAAATTTACTGATTATTCCAGGGTTATGACCTCAATGAGCAAGTGCACAACATACCATAAACAGATCTTCTACAGATCACTTTACAGCGCGTTGGAGTAAGTGGTCACCTCGAAGCAACCACAAATACACAACTGTAAGAAAAGAAATCTGCCCTAATGTTAGGTAAAGGGATACCTGTGTCATGGACTAAAGTTTCTGACAGTATCAGGCACATATACCAGAAATTCTGTATCTCAAACAAGTTGGATGAAAGTCAAGGTATTATTTTTTTAAGTTAGGTAACTGCAGAAGTGACCCTAGAGAGAGAAAAATAAGGGAGAAAAAAATAGGGAGAAAAATAAGACAGTACCTCCAGGCAGACAGATGGGAGGCTTAGTCCTGAAGACAGCTCGGAGGAGGTGGTCCCTTGGCCTGAAGGCGTTTAACTGTAGCCTGGAGGGAAGACTCACGATTTGCAGTAGCATCTCATTACTCAAAGTATGGTCCACCAACCCGCAGCATCTGTACAAGTGCAGAATATGGGGCCCAACCAAGGCCTACCTGAACCGGAATCTGCATTTTAATAAGACCCACAGATGATTCATGTGCACAAAGAAGCTGAAGAAATGCTGGAGGAGAGTACACCACGTGTGGCTTTACTTCCTGGCCAAGGTCATGGTGAGGAAGCAGAAATCTGATACTAGGAGTAAGTGAGGAACAGCCACGTGGGGCCTGCAGGGAAAAGAAGTGCACCGGGAGTGGTGGTAAGCCCATGTCTGTGAGCTCTCTGCCCTGACCAGTCCTCTCCCTTCAGGCCTCAAGTGCTTTAGGGTCTTCCTGGGACTTTGTGGGAGGGGGCATGTGTGGGTAATAAAGTCACCAGCCAGACTGTGTGAGCAGCATTTCTGGCCTCAGCCAAATGTGCTGTTCCAATGAACAGTCTGGCTCCCAGAAAAGCCTGTTCCTACTGCCAATGTTCGAAAACAACAATGATATTCACTACAAAGTTTTCTCTTTCAGACCAAGCATCCACAGTTATTTCCTTTACACACGTGTCCCCCCCACCTAGACTATGACACCTTCCTGGTCAAGGACTCTGCCTTTCCAGATCCTTTCCCAAGTTGGACACTGTGCTCTAGGTATGGAAAAATGAATCTGTTTCCCCGTGAAATACAGCATCCAGGAATAAAGATGGCTCCCCTGGGCTGAGCACAACTATGAGTGCATCCTGATGCCTGCACCACTTCCAAACGTCTAACTCTGCAAGTCCTTCGACACAAAACGCTGCAAGGGTAAATCTCTCCCACCCTGTACTTACAAAGCTCAACTTTTTTTAAACCTACACCCATACTTAAGTGCTACACAGACGCTATCCGTAATTAACGTAATTCTCCAAAGCCCACACTTGGGTATTAGAAACAATCAGTCACCACAAACGGAAGTCAGATTTCACAAGACTACCTGAATCCTATGCTATACTGGGAAATAAAACCCAGGAACAATTCCAAATAGCATGGGGAGACCAAGATCAACCAAGTTATTTTTATTCAAATGTTTGTCGTTTTCCTAAAAACTTATACCAAGGAATCCATTTTTTGAGAACACAGACAGATAGGTAGTATAGCCATATGCAAAGTGTTAACATGGTTATTACCAGGTGAATGTGCTTCTTCCATATTTTAGGTTGAGAAAAGCAAAAGTTAATTTTAAATGGTATCCAGGACTGATTCATTGGTCAAAGACAGAAGTTTTCAAGGAGAGCTCTCTTTTCCAGCAATTCCAACAGGACATATACTGAGTATCTGGAGAAACCTCTCACACCCCGAGGAGCTCCAGCGCTAGGGTAGCACCTGCTTATGTTCCAGCAGTGGCCTCTCTGGGCCCCTGAAGAAACAGTCGCCTCCCAGAAGTCTGGGTGGGGAGGTCAAGGCCAAATGGATTTGGGAAACAAGGCCGCTCCTACCCAATGTGTGTCCCGGGCAGGATTATCGGGACAGGGAAAAAGCCAGGCAGGCCCCTAGCTCCTTTCTGTAAGGGGAAACAAACCACCATGGGCAGAGGAAGCACGTGGGTAAACCAGTCCTCCAAATCCTGAAAAACACCAAAGATGTTTAAAAAAAAAATCAGTTTTCTAGCATAGTGCCTAGAATTCTGTAGGACCTCAGGAAGGATTAATTCTACTTTTAACAACATAGTTAATCCTTGTTCAGTAACAGCCTGTACTTACGGTGCTTACTGCCAGGGGATAACTGCAGGCCTTTCCATTTCGTATCAAAATAATCCCTGCCAAACCCCATGAGATACCTACTGGTGGTTCACTTTCACAGACACTCCCACAGCACTATGTGCCAGGCACTAGTCTGTAAATATTTACTCGTGGAATTGTCACTGCAGCCTTCAATATTCCCAGCAATCACCATCCCCGTTTTTCAGGAGATGGAACCAAGACACAGAGAGATTAAGTAACTTTCCCAAGGCTACACAGCTAGGTCAGAGCAGAACCAGGATTCCAACAAGAATAGTCTGGCTCCAGATTCCCGCTTTATGCAGCATACCGAGTCCATACTACCACTGCCTTATTTTACAGAAAAGAAATTTAAGGTTTGGTGCTCAAACAGCTATAGGTGATAGAACTATGACTTCAGCTTAGAATCTGGCAGACACCACGGGGATGTTCCCACGGGCAACATCCCATTACCTTCTCCCATGGAAGATGGTTCAAATATATTACCACTAATGCTGCCAATCATCTTAAAT